GAAAAGAAAAACAAGGTGTGCTCCTCCAGGCAGAAATTAGAGGAAGACAAGGGAATAAATAAGGTCAGCAAGTAATACTTACTTCAGATTTTCAGACTGTGACACATTTTTYATGGACCCTGAGCCAGATTTTCCATGTTGCTGTTGAAAGCAAAAGAAAAGTGATGACCATGATCACTAATAGAGATGACGGCATTTCATCAACCAGAATAAGAAAATTCAAGTTTTAAGTCAGTATGTGGTTAGTATATAGGAATTATGAATGAAATTTGATATGAGTTTACCTGTGATTTCCGAGTARTACTTGGCACAGAAATCAATTTTGTTGGCCTACTTAAGTCAACACTTGCATTGCCTTCAATAGCTTGCTTGTCATTATTTGACCTCAGGCTGGTTGTTTGGGCAACATGCTGCTTTGGGCACATATCCAAGGTCAGCGAACCATTTGAAACAGAAGTTGTTACCTCAACATGTTTTCCATATTTGTTCTTTTGGACTGAGGTTGCAACACCAACTTTGGTACTAGAAGGCTTCTCATTCTTGCTTTTCGTTTGGCCTTTCTTTGGTTTCTGATGATCTGTCTGCTCTTTGTCCTTTCCACTCAATTCCTACAAAGCAACAGAGGCAAGGATGTGGGTCTCAAAAGAAACAAACAAAGAAAGCGCATTCAACCAATCGAATATATTCTAACATAACTAACCTTACTCAAATCATTGCTTTCCATGTGAATTACCGATCTGTCCTGAACTTCCTCTATGGGTGAATTTAGAGCCAAGACCTCTTCCAATTCAGCTGCAATTTCTGAACTTCCGTCTGGCTGTACAGATTTTGTACTATAATCAAGAGTCCCATTCACTTCCTCTAACATTAAACTTTCCTTGCCTCGAGAAGGAAGTTCATCAAGAACACCATTTTCATGGTTCATCTCGTTCACACCACCAGTTATAATATTATCAGCATCCATTGCTCACTGAAAAATGCAAGAACACAATTACACAAAAGTGAATCTTATCAATTAATTCTGTTCCTGTATTCCTCCCAACCAAACTTCAAGAGAATTGATGCCCAGACATATATAACCTGCTAACCTATCATAAGGAAAGGGCATAAGTCTCTCACTTAGCTATTTTACAGCTTAGGACTTAGAAGATCAAAAGGGAAAAACAACAAACTAGTTTACCCAATTCAACCTGCATGCCCTCTCTGTCCTACAAGTTACAGAATAGTTAGGTGTTTTGAAAATAGAATATTTTACTTAAGTAACCAAAACATCCTCATGCGGGAGAGCAACCAAGTTGTATACAAGCAGAAAATAAGTGAAACACGTTGAAATTAACCAAAGATTGTTTTATTTCAGTCATATTTCCTGAGGCAACAACATTATAGATTTGCGTTCTGGGATGCTACCCGCAAGGCAACTATCCCCCCACCCCCCCTTCACATGGAACTTCTCTGGAAGCCAATAAAGAAGCAGGAGATCATGATACTAAACTTTTGAAATATTATTGGGCCCAAGTGAACAGCATCAGCACGAAACACCTCAAAACCAAGAGTTCAAGATAAATTTTCTTATTTGCGTATGCATCACCCAAGATTTTCTTAGATCAATCCAGATTATAAGTTAAAACAGAGAAGTTCCTTTCTTTTAAAAAATATCAAGAAAAATGCTACTTCAGTTGGAGATTTGATGAATGATGCATAAAGGAGATTTCATATGACTAAATGAACTATTCAAACCGTTGCTAGTTCATTTAGGCATTACCAAGCAAAAGAAGTCCTTTAGGGCATGAAGCATGTCTCAGGAATTGCGATCTTCCACGTTAAAGATCAAAATCCGATCACCGAAATGTGTGACTGAAAGTGATAGAGACAGAGAGAGAAGAAACACAAATCTACTGAACTGAACTGGATCCCCAACTCATAAAAAAGGTTCCTTTTTTTGRAACTTCGAAGACTAGAAGAATCATCAAACAGAAGAAGATCTCGAAATCATATAAAGGAGATAAAAAATCCCGACGAAGATCGACAAGAAAGCATCGATCTCCGAGTGGCCATTTGTTCCGGGGAAGAGAATGCAGTAGATTGGAACAAAATACAACGATTTTTAGCTCCCGCTTTCTCACCTGAGTATGCCACTCGACCGTCAAAACGCCATTAGGGMTCGCTTACAGATCTCGAACTCGAACAGAAGAGGTAGCGAAGGGATGGAAGGATCTGAGAGATTCAGTACTCTGCTGAAGTGAGATCGAGTAAGAACAACGAGACTAAGCTTTAAGTCCGATCAGCAGAGCCACGACGATACCGATTCGAACCTAAAAGTGGATTAGTTTTTTAAAAATATGCTTTTTTTTTATTCTTTCTTCCCTTCACAGCTCCACTTTTCTTTCTTTTGAACCAGGGAGCTCTCCGAGGCTCAAACCTCCTTTCCTTTTGTGCCAGCGCCTTTGTTTTCAATCCAGACAACACAAGAGAGAGACAGAGAGAGAGA